TCCTTGCCCTCACTTCTACCACGGTTTTTTCCGTCATGGACGGCCTAAAGAATGTCATGGAGGTGCGTCTCCGGCCCACCCAGGACGAAAAGCCGATTTTCTGTCATGATATTTTGTCATAGAAGTAGGAGCACACCACATCTATGATGATATCGAGTTTTGTCACAATTATCTTCATAGAAGTGTCATAAGCATGATAGGAAAAAAAATTCGGCCCAAAATCTCACGGATGTGTCTTTTTTTGTAGTGGCCCTACCTGGCATGTATATAAGCCATAGAGTTTAGCCTGTAGAGGGAATCTAATCGCAATTACATTCACATAGCCCCAGGGTTAGACCTCTCCTTACGATCCCGAGGTAGATCAAGCTTGTACTTGATACATCATCATCAATACAATCAAAGCAGGACGTAGGTTATTCTGAGGGCCCTTACCTGGTAAAAATTGTCTCCTTCGTCCCTGTTACTATACCACCGATCCGAGATCCACAACTCGGGACCCACTACCCCGAGGTCTGCCGGTTTTTACCATCGACATAGATGAAAAGGATTTCAAATGAACTGTGGACTTGCCAATACATTCAATGTATTGACCCTAGTGGCTAGAACGTATCATGTTGCAGGTGATGACTACGAGGAGTGACTTAGTAGGCTTTCGTGCCTCCACTCGACATGCTTCCCCGTGGTGTTGGTGGAGCTTACCAAGATGTCTACCTTAGATTTGCTTTTTTCCACTTGTTATGAACTATGTCTGCTTATTGTAATACTATGTATTTGACTAGCTTGTGGCTAGTCTGTAAGACTATTTGCTTTCTGGATCATGCAATGTAATAAAGGACGCATTAGTCTATGATACAACATCGGCACCATGTATGCCAATGATTCGATCTAGGGGTTGGCACAGAAACACACAGTGTATGCCTGAAAAGATGGGTCATGGCATGAGCACAAACTTACTGCCGGAAGCACACATGTAAACTCGCAGGGGAGCACCACCACCACCCCCTACAACATCTGCTAGAAATTTGGGGAAAGGGTCTCTGATCCGTACCTACTCGAGTCGTTGTCGGCCACCGCCGATCCCGCACCCGTTGTCGTCACCATCGCGGTGGGTATGCCCTGGTCGCCTAAAGCCCTGCGCCGCCGCCCTCCTGAATCCAGGTTCTGTCGCTCCTCCCAGCCACATGAGCCACCGCCATTGCGGGATCTAATCCCTCTTCGATGCGTAACAAAGGCAGTTGCAAAGCGCCTACCCTGAAATAAAAGCCCAATTGTAGGAAACGAACGCGGACACGGATGTGGAGATGCTTGCGATAGTCTCATCAACATACGATCCGACGGTCACGAAACTGGCGGACGCACACGCCGATCATTCGGCTGAAGGTAAGCTTTTTCTTAATTAATCGGGTGATTTGGGACGGTTGCTTTTACACCTCTCAAGGCATCGTCAATCATTATCCTCCCCAACAGATCATAGGTGATGCAGGTGGGATCGTGTGCCACCTGGAGGGAAAAGATTCGTCTTTCTCACGTCCTTGATTTCAGCATATTTCCAACCCAGGGTAATGCTACACGCACAACAATACATTACCACGCATACATGTATACTCCACACTGTGCTAGTAGTACATTTTTTTCTTTTGCAGTTTTTCCCATATAATTATGTTGTCACCAGAAGTACTATTCCCTCCTTGTACTAAATCAGCAACACTTATGGAACGGAGGGAGTAGTAAACAAGAAATCTAATGTCAGCATGTCACAATTTTCACTAGACAAACTCAAGGTCCAACTCAAAAGAACTGTATTACATGTCTTCAAGGAAATCATTTACTTACAAACAACACATGCTCCATCGTCTAGTTTTTGTATTGTAGGAGAAGAATGTTCATCTTGCCGTATGATACTTCCTTTGATTTTTTAAAAAGGTTTGCATGTTTTTTATTGCATACCAAGGTCGTTTCAAGCGCACCAATCATGTAAGTGTGCACCCGCTCGACTCAACTTGTAATTCTTCCAAATGACCACGAGCCTTGCTTTTGAAGAAAGAGGAAAAAATTAAGCGCCTTGTTTTTAGATCAAATGGAGTACATAAGAATAATGATATTATTTTTAAATCAAATAACATATATGGTTAATTATGCACAAATAGTGATGCCGTTTTAAATCAAGAGTCACACAGTATACGTAACTAAACATATACATGAGCGTCTACCATTACTGATGAGGACATCCCTACCATTGTTACACCCATAGTCTTTGCCGCTACACATGTACAAGTACCAGAAAAAAAGGACCAGCCACTAGAGCTCTCACACGCCAATTAGATTACCTGATACTCCTTTTGTTTCTGGATGTGTTTGAATTGATTAGGAATGAAGGGCCTATAATGAACAAGAGAGATTAGCATTGGAGCATGATGAAGCATGAAGCCGGAGAAAAAGGGGCGAAATGTGTTTCTTGATACAAAGTATTAGCATGTGTCAGCTATTTCTAGAACAAAAATATGGTGAAATGCATGCATATGCCACCTTACATGAGTGTTACACACAAAGCGGTGAAGAAACAAGTGACACAACACGTATATAGTCAGTACCGCACACACAAGATCCCACGTATTTATAGAGTTAGGTGGCAAGCATGCACGCCGTCACGAACAAAGAGACGATCAACGATGAATCCAACTATGTATGCAGGTCGCTCACGCTTTTGACTTTACATTAGCATCCATCTTCTACATGTCATGCTAACTTGGATTTATAGCCCAAGGATATTGCTCGGTGTTTGTATATATGTATAACGCGAGAGCGACAAACTATTAATTAGTACATCATGCGTTGCATATCTTTATATATACCGCTAAAGTTTCAGCCATATATACATTTATGGAGGCGGTTGGATAGATAGAGTGACATGCAATGTTTGCATTGATGCATGTACAACTTCATTAGAACCAATTGACTCGAAATATTTATTCAGCGGTTCGCGGATAAACTGGACACTCACAACCAGCACAAAATTTAACTAGAAAATTGGCACCTGCATGCATTAACCGAGTCAATAGTTGTGTTGCATAAAATGACACGTGTCATTTGCCACAATCGAACATACACTGTGTCTGTTTTTGAGATATGATCAAATATATTTTAGTGCATTGCATCATCTGTTATTGCTAGTATACTGAAATCGGTGGCGCGTACTGATCATGTTTTTGGTTCAATACTGAAATCGGTGGTACTATCATTTGTTCGTTTTGATGTGCTAAATTCAAAGATAGAGTGAAATATATGCATGGATGGTATTTTTGTGCACGACTCCAACCCTTATTGTGAAATCTCACGTAAAGAGTAAATACATATGTATATGCTTGACATGATTTTCTTTTTTCCGGTAGTACAAGCAGTCTGTGACCGTATCAATTATCCACTTGAACTCCCTGCCCCAATATATTTCTAAGATGCATTTCCATGTGAAAAGAAATGCCATCCTGCCCATACATTAACTTAAGCAGGGGAAGCATAATGCAGGTGGTTAAGTTAATTAATCACCCAGATTTTTTTTGCCTAATCATTAAAAAGGGCCACATGGCCATTTATTACCTGGAAAGGGAGGGATTAACCCACAACATGCCAATGTATGGCCATTTTTATACTCCTCCGCCTTCTCCAGGCACGCGTGGCTTCTCCAACCGAAACGCATGACACATGGGCCAAGCAAGGTCACGGGCCGACAGCTCAGTGGCGTCTGCGTGCGGTGCACCGCGTCGGTTTCTCCTGGGCGAGTGGTGATGAGGGGTCCGCGTTAATCGCCAGGCACGTTCTGCACCTCTTTCGCTCTCCGCGCGGGCCCACGGCACAGCTGTTATAATGTGGTCTTGTCTGCTCCTTCTCTCTCTCTCCTCGTCCTTCCTTTTTATCTCTCTCTTTCTGCCGTTTCTCCTAACTAATTTTGTTCTCTCATGCTTATCTCTCTCTTTTTTTTTCTGGCTTTGAAGGTTAAAAATAAATCTTGCTGCGATTAATTGTTTCCCTGCCGTTTAAATTAGCTTCATCGAAATGTTTTGATGGGCGATCAATACTACTGCAGTGTTGGAAAAGGATGCCAGAAGCTATAGTACTTGGAGGAAATGATAGTACAAGGGTAAGTTACTGGTAAAAAATGGTTAATCCGGCGGATAACATATGACTAAGGTAGATATATTGTATGGGGAAGGGAAATGCCTAAGATCACCACAGAATCCAACATATTCCTCCATGGGGATCGAGGTAGGGGAGTTTTGTAGAGGGGTATTTGTGCTCCCCTCCCTTTCATTACAAGCCTCCCCCATCCCATCTCTCTCTCTCCATGCTGCTCACATGTTTCTCTCTCTCTACCATACTACCATTGTCCGGCAGGCACTCCTCTCCCTCTCCCCCGTCCTTTGGGTTTTTAACTAGCAGAGGGGGGTAAAGCCACCCTGACAGCGCAGCATCTCCTTTGTTTTATCTCCCACATCATCCCCCTCATCGTCGTCTGCACACAACAAACAGCCCTCTCTCCTCTCGCTGTACTCAACATTTCACTTCTCTCTCAACCCCCCTCCCTCTTTCTCTCTCCTTCACAGCTATCATATTCTCGTCCCCTCTCTCTTCCAATCCACCCTATTATTAATTGCAGGCTTACTGAAGGTATCTTAATTCTTTTTTCCTCTCCCTTCTCCCCCCTCCTCTCTCCCTTGCAGAGGGTATTTTTCTTGTGCCAGGCTTCCTTCCTGTACTAGAGCTCCTCTATTCCTCCTCCTCCTCTTCTTCTTCTTCTTCTTCTTCGTCCCTGACCTGCCTACCACCACCTCATCTCTGTTTCTTTCCCTTTCCCCCCGCTCTCCTTCTCTCTCCGTGCTCTTTCTGGCTGTCCTGGCCTCCCATCTTTTTCACCTCCCTCTCATGTACTGATCATTCCATCACCTCCATTCCCTATGCGCCTCTGGTAACGCTTTGCCGGCGACGTGCACCCAGTGTGTACTAGCATGCAGCAGCAGCAGCAGCAGCCGCAGCATCAGGGTGGAGGCCCGGGCCAGCAGTTCGGCCTGCATCCCCCAGAGATGCCGCCATTCTCGCCGTCTAGGAGCACCGGCCAGCAGCGGATCTCGATGGCCGAGGCGCCCTCGCCCATCAGCAGCCGCCCGCCGGCGCCTGGGCCGCCGCCGCCGCAGCAGCAGCTCAACAACGAGCTAGCAGGTGCCGGCCCCGTGGGCTTCGACGAAGAGGCGCTCGCGGCCGGCGAGGAAGGCTTGGGCGGCGGCGCCGGAGGAAACCGGTGGCCGCGGCAGGAGACCCTGGCGCTGCTCAAGATCCGGTCGGACATGGACGCCGCCTTCCGGGACGCCACCCTCAAGGGCCCACTCTGGGAAGAGGTCTCCAGGTAAATTACAACCCACTCGAATTGACCTCCGCCAGGCAATTGCGCACGCCGTCGCCGGCATCGCCGTCCCTGGAGGCCGGAAATTGTCGTCGCCGTAATGCCGCATGAAATCTCGGCGGCGGCGTGCTGTGATTTCCGTCCGCCGTGGCTGTTTAATTACCGGCTAAAAAACACTTCTTTTTACACTTTTGCCTTAACTATGCTTCACGAGCACAGTGACTTTTTTTCCATTTTAAAATCATATCGCTCTCCTTCCCCACCTTTCCCTGATTTTTTTTGTCCAACCATCTCTTCGACATGAGAGCTACTACTACTCCCGTAAGCTTCAGATCCGGGGGCATCAATCCCAGAGAAGCTGTCTTTTACTCCGGCACTCTGAATTTCTGCAAGCAAAAGTTGGATTTTGATTCCCGATTTAATCTATTTTGCATTCTTCTTGGGATTTGCCATTCTTGCTAGTAGTGCTGCATGTATGCATATGCCTTTCTTTATCTTTTGCATTTGGGTGCCCAAATCGAGTAAAATTCTACCGGTACATGCATGCAGCTTTTGTGTGAGGGTTACGGTTTACTTGCATGATGTGTGAGTTCGTATGTTTGCAATTGTGGTTGTAGCGTAGAGCTCCATTGACGAGGTTCTTTTCTTTTGTGCTGTTGATGCTCATGATGATTGGTGTTGGTGGTGGTTGGCAGGAAGCTGGCCGAGGAGGGGTACAGGCGGAACGCCAAGAAGTGCAAGGAGAAGTTCGAGAACGTTCACAAGTACTACAAGCGCACCAAGGACAGCCGCGCCGGCCGCAACGACGGCAAGACGTACCGCTTCTTCCGGCAGCTCGAGGCGATGCAAAGCACGTCCAGTGTGACGGCGGCTCCGATGGCATCGGCCCCGCCGCCGGCGACAGCCGTTGGGGTGCCTGGGGTGGTGGGACCCACGGCTCTACGGCCCCTCGCCGAGCCGCCGCCTGTTGGTGCCGCGGCCGCCGCCACGGCTGGCCTGCCGACGCCAGTGGTAGTGGGCAACTTGAGCTTCTCAACGTCCAACACGGAGGAGTACTCGGACGAGGACGACTCGGACGACGAGGGCACCGACGACATGGGCGGCGGCGCCGACGAGCGAGGGAAGAGGAAGCGGACGTCGGAGGGTGGCGCCGCGGCTGGTTCTGGCGGCGAGGCCGGGAGCGGCAAGATGATGAGGTTCTTCGAGGGGCTGATGAAGCAGGTGATGGAGCGTCAGGAGGCGATGCAGCAGCGGTTCCTGGAGGCCATCGAGAAGCGGGAGCAGGACCGCATGATCCGCGAGGAGGCGTGGCGGAGGCAGGAGATGGCGCGCCTGGCGCGCGAGCAGGAGATCCTCGGGCAGGAGCGCGCCATGGCTGCTACCCGCGACGCCGCTGTGCTCTCCTTCATACAGAAGATCACCGGGCAGACCATCCCCATGCCGTCCATCGCCGCGCAGGCCATTACATTCATGCCACCGCCGCCGCCTTCGCAGCCTCACGCCACGCCCATAGCATACTCCGCCGCGCCAGTTCATCCACGACCGCCGTCTTCGCAGCCACCTGCCACGCACTCGCCGCCTCAACCTCAACCCTCGCCACGGCAGCAGAAGCCGCCAACAATGCCGCCCGTGACGCCGCAGCCGCACAAGTCGCCGGCTCCAGCGACGCCACAGCTACAGCAGCAAGCGCCGGCCGTAAATTCAAGCTGCATGGACATCGTCGTGGCGCCCTCGGAAGCGCCGCACGACTCGTCGGGCTACGACGGGTCCGGTGGCGGCAGCGGACCGACATCGTCGCGGTGGCCCAAGGCGGAGGTGCACGCGCTGATCCAACTGCGGAGCAACCTGGACATGAGGTACCAAGAGGCCGGGCCCAAGGGACCGCTCTGGGAAGAGATCTCCGCCGGCATGCGGCGGATGGGCTACAACCGGAGCTCCAAGCGGTGCAAGGAGAAGTGGGAGAACATCAACAAGTACTTCAAGAAGGTGAAGGAGAGCAACAAGAAGCGGCCCGAGGACTCCAAGACGTGCCCCTACTTCCACCAGCTCGAGGCGCTCTACCGCAACAAGGCGGCGCTCGGCTCCCCCTCCGGCGCCGGCGGCGCACTGGCTTTGCCGCCGCCCGCAGTGCACGCCAATGCAGCTCCCCAGGAGCGCATCGAGGCGTTCACCGTCGCGGCGCCGATCTCGCAGACGGCTCCGCAGCAGCCACCTGTGGCCAAGAACGACGCCAGCAACGCCGGGAACGGCAACGGTAATGGCGGCGGCGCGTCGGCAGGAGTCTCCGGGGGAGCGCAAAGGCTGGCGGCGAGCAACGGCGGCAGCAGGTTCGTCTTCGGCGAAGCAGGCGGAGACGCGGCGGCGAAAAAGGTAATTAAGCTAGAAAATATGTGCATTCTGGATGTGGCCATAGCCATTTGGCGCGTACATGTGGTACCCTGCTGTTCGTTTCTTCCGTGATCCAATGCTGATTGCATAACACTGCGCATTTAAAGCCAGAAGGCATCATGAAGGAGACGACGATGGAGCAGAGGCAGCCACAGCCGCAGCCGCAGGCGGCGCAGCAGGCTGCGATCAACAGCTACAACCGTACGGGCGGCGGCGGCGCCGAGAGCGACAACATGGACGAGGACGACGAGGACGAGGACGACTACGAGGACGAGGACGAGGAGGACGACCTCGACGGCAACAAAACGCAGTACAAGATCCAGTTCCAGGGGCAGCAACAACATCAGAATCAGCATCAACAGCACCACCACAACGTTGTCAGGCCGAACGCCACCTCGTCCGGCGGCGGCAACCCGCCTGGCGCTGCCGCTCCCAGCGCGCCGGCGGCGGCAACGACGACAGCCGGATCTTTCCTGGGCATGGTCCAGTAGATCCATCCATCACCCCGGTGACTAGCTCTCTCTCTCCCCATACCCCAATCAATTCCATCGGTGGCTTTCTACCTTCTCTTTCTCTCTTTCTTGTACCATTTGTATCTACCTACCTGTCGCATCTTCCATCCCCGTCCATATATCTCGGCACCTCCAGACCTAGAGCTCAAGAGCTCTCTCCTCCTCCACCAAGCTCCAGCACCCCTCATATGCACATGCACGTAGCAACGACGACATGTCCATGTCAGAATCATTCGCCTGCATGCATGCATATGCATGCGCATCGTCGTCGACGTTGCTACTCCGATATACACCTTCCCTTTACATGTCCAGCTAGCGGCTGCATCCGTTTCTTGATTCGTTGCTGTGTTAATTACAGTGTTACAGTAAAAAAATGGTGGTCTGGTTATTTATTGATTTGTCGTGGTGATTAATAAGAACCCTTCTTGCCGGAGGGCTTCACTGAGAGGTTAATCACTACTACATCGGGGTGGTAAAAAACCCCGGTAATAAGATCGATCCAGCTCGCGCGCGGTTAAAATGAAGAGAAGAGCGTGTGCTTGTTACTTTCGTCAATTTGGTGCATACGGCTACTGCCCTACAGTGTGGTACTGTACGTGCTGCAATGGAACGGTGAAAAATGAAAAAGGATCGACGGTACTGGCCTGCAGGCCATGAGGAAGAAGGTGCTGGAGCATATGCGGATTTTTTTTCCTTTTTATCTTCTATATATTTTTTCTTTCGAAATTACCCAAATTGTCCATTATGTATTACCGAGCTTTTCTTCTTCTTACCAACTGTTTTTACTGAACTATTACAGTGTATACTTGTGACATACTATATCCTATATTCTTGCTGTGCTTGCACCAGCATTCTTCTGAGTATATATGAACTCCATCACTGCATTCCTACTGTGTTTTCTGTATTTTAATGGCTAGAGGCAGATGCAGGATAAAGTTACATGTTCACCTCTGATTATACTCTAGATCTGATGCCTAAATTATTGTAAGCTTATTCTGGTTTTAGATCCCATAAGGATCTCTCTTCCAAATATTATTACTACAATGCCATGGTTAGTACGAACCCTTGGGGTGTAGTATAGTCCTCACATGCATGCCAACCTACATTACCATGCTATATGAAATGTAATAGCAAGAGGAGGCACACAAATAGTTTTTCTACAACTACAAATATGTACCGTAAGCGAGCTAGAAACGATTGTGATATTACAATCATCTAATAACAATGTACATGAGCGGTCTTGCGCTAATAATCAACACCTAAGTATAACTCCGTTGTTATTCTACAATCTATGGAATAGATGAGCGGCCTTGTGCTCCTATCACATTTATGGATTCCGGTATTAGAATATGAAATTAATAATTCTACTCAAACCATCAATGGTGTGAAAAGAAGGATTCAATGATTTGTTTGACCTAATTCAATACATTGCAAAACGCACCCGTTTAGGGGGTCGAGGGAAAGAGAGAACGGACATCATAGTCCAATGCCAAGTCACAAATTATGCTACAAGACACAAAGAAGTTGTTCAGTAGCAAGATATATAAAAGAACAATATGTGGCAAAAAGGCGTTGAGTCTGCTGCGGCCACCAAGACAATTGAGGCCAGGGCCACTACCACCCCTAGGAGAAGCTACCCATGCCATCGATGGTAGCATTCTTACTCGATCATTGGTAGGTGTTGAAATATGTATGAAATATGTGTGTGTATGTGTCTAGCCTATCAGCTTATGTCTAGTCACTTGTATATAAACGTCCCAAGCTACAAGTGTTTGAATCAAACACCTAACCCTTAACTAATTACATGTCCGGTTGTTGCTCGACACGTACACACGCGTATTCGACCCATATAACAACTTTGCAAATATTACCTCGCCGTCTTGAAGCCGCCATCCATGAACCTTCGTGTGTACATTGAACTTGAACTATTAATCTTGAGCTCCACTGCTATTTTCTTGACAACCGTTGCAACTGGAGTCATGTGATCCAGTAGGTTAGACACAAATCATCAAGCGATTGTGCGATGTTGATTTAGTACTACATGCGGAGGAGCGTCCATTTCATCCCTTGGGGAGTAGGTAAGATTGCCAACCCTCATTAACAAATACCGATGTAGTGCTGTGATTACCTGTCCTAAGATAATTGACCACACATCGGATTTCTAACAGTGGGTTTGTCACAAGTATGTGTATGGTCTTCTAGGAGCCGGGAATGGAATTCTTTGCTATATTGAAAAGTCCATCCCTTTTTGTGTCATTGTCGACCGCTGTAAACTCAATTCTCCCTCCTGCGGGACTTAGCATCGCAGCCAAAGTTGTTAAAATCCGAGGTTTTGAAGCTGACTCTTTGGCAATATCACAAATCATAGGAATACAATTGTTAGGATTGTAAAATGATAAATTCTACTTGTTAGAATCGTAGAACAAAGCTATACAAAATCATAGCACTAGTCAAATTAATTTGGATCTTGTAGAATCACACAATAGAATCAAGATGCACGCAACCTTGATTGTTGGTTCGGCTTGCCCACTCTAAGAAGCATGTACGGATTTTGAGGAGAAAGACAAAGGATTGGAGGCGAGGTTGGGTTTTTTGTGTGGAAAAGGAGGTGACCTCCTACATCTGCATCACTGGGATGCACACCCAACCAACTTTATTATGTATCAACCATTTGTCATAAAAAAATAGAAAACGGAAAAAAGACCATGCACGACCGGTCGATAACAACAATACATGACTACAGACATAACCTAGATATTTGAAGGCTACGAGGGTAAAAGTCTTTGTTTGAAGAGTTTTTCGTTGGGCCAAAAGGATTGTCACCAATGGAGTGATATAATTTTTTTATTACACCCATGAGTACCATCTTTAATTGTCGGGAGGGAGTTATGAACTCAGCAAAAATGCCGCCTATTCGAAATATGTTTTTGCTTCAAAATGATTTTGTATTCGGATTAGGGATGTCTTTGACCAATTCTAACATTGCGGAGGAAACACATTCTAGAGAAGAATCCTCACCAAATCACACACTTGATACACTCCGGGTGGCGCTTCAAAATTGTACCTGGGCGTACGTGGTGGAGATGAGATGCCCTATTTTTGGCTGCCTCGGAGTTAGCGCCAGGGTGTCGATAGAATACTGATCCATTTGGCAAGCATACAAAATTGGTTTGGGGTCAGGGCTGGCAGCGGCGGCAGCAGCTGGGGATCCGTATAGAAACGGTTGAAGCGCGTGGGGTGGCGTGCCCTGCCATAAAAAGTTAGAAAGATAGGGGCGCTGTGGGATTGATGCCTCCTGTTTAATTGTTGGGAGAAGGTGGAGGTTGCAGCTGCGGGCGCTCGCTCACCACGGGCGCACCGCACATGCATCCCTTTTCTACTGCTAGTACTGCCTTTTAAAATTACTGTATTATTTACTTCGTTATATTTTTCTAAACAACGTGAGAATTCTTAGTTTATGTTCTGACTACTGGGAAGAAACGAGTTGGACTCGGTTTGGAAAACATCTCTCTTTCCTTGGCTTGGGCAATTGGCATGAGAAGGGAGGGCCGGCTCTACTTTGTTCTGGCTGCATGCAGGCTGAATGATGCACATGGGAAGGTCGGGAAAAAAAAGGGGGTGTGAAATTAGGGCTCTGGCATGCACAGAGGAGCCCACGCTGCAATCTTGTACCCTTTTGTTTTGCGCCCTTTTCTTCTTTTCACCACTGGCATTTACTCGGCATCTTTTACCTTGTCATAAAAAAAGAGAGTAAGAACTCATGCATCAGTGAGCAGCTAGAGAGGACCAATTAAATTGCATGCCAACAAATGTTGTTTGTTCATGAGGTTTACCTTTTCTACAAACAGTTTGAGTAGTAGTAGTAACACACATCCATCAATGCACATAGTTTTACAGCGGTAAGAAAAGGCTAGCCGATCCAACGTTAAAGGCACTGCACGGAGGCATTCAAAGTCCAGTAAAAACACAATTTCTTACTACCTGCTTTGGTAAGTAATTATCCGCAGCACGCCAGTACGCACACACTGAGAAGTTTTTTTTGGAAGGGTGCACACACAGACTAAGCAGTTGTGCATGACAAAGGCAAGCTCGTCAGAAAAAAAAGTCCCTCGCATGCAGCTGTAGATGCAGAGCGGCCGGCTGCAGAAGATTCTTTTGGTGTGTGAGAGTAGAGTAGGTTTTTAGTAGTACTACAAAATTCTGTCGCGGTAAATGATGCGTCATGTACAGGGTAAAAGGGTAAAAAAAGAGAAAGATGGAAGAAAGGCACAGTGCATGAATTCTCATGCTCGGCAGCATGTGCGGTGACTCCGCGCTTCACGAGACGCTGTTACCTGAGAGTGGGACAGTACTGAAAAACCTCAAGAAACTTCGCTAGGTCAACACCCCGGTGCTACACAGGATATTTTATTTCACCTTTTTTTCTTCCTAAAATGAATGTAAACAAGTTTTGGGATTTCATTTCAACCCATAAATAAAAAGAAAGAAAGGATGATAATGAGATGCTATGGCGTGTTTTTTTAGGATGCCGATAAGTGCCACACGTGTGGGCGTTAGGGAGTCCGCCCACACATTTTGTGTGGTGTATAAGAGGAACAGGCCACACACCTACGTGTGAGCAAAACAATTAGCGCCCACACGCTTTTTCCCCCTCCCGATCCCTCTCACACGTGTGCGTGTGGGCGAAGTTGATAACGCCCACACGTCCGTATGTCAGGCCTCGTACCTCCTGGTCCCGCACGCCACGCGTGACGGTCACCGCGCGCCCGCAGTTGCCATGGTCCAGACCCTCGTCCATGTTCGTTTAATTGCAGTTGCCATGTCGCTGAACTACGGTTGCCATGTCGGACAACTGCAGTTGCCATGGTTGCTCAACTGCAGTTGCCATGGTTGCTCAACTGCAGTTGCCATGTATGGTCTGATCTAATGTAGTTGCCATGATTTCATAACTTTAGGAGTTGCCACATACTAACACTAGA